TTGCTTTATATATTTGGTGTCTTTTGTCGTGATATACATAATAATTAATGAAAAGAGAAGAAATAGTGGCGAAAATTGTGAATTTGTTTGTGGCTTACACTCGTATCTTGAAAGCTAATGTTTTCAAGCAGTTATATCTTTGCAAATATTAAATTCAGCATTAAAGTGAGCCAGAACTGGGTATCTTTAACAGTTATACATGGATCAATTTGTGATGTATCAATATTAATCAAACATTATATATGAGCCAAAGAGCTGCTTATTACCATCGGTTAAAAAATAAAAACGACTACATATATTGTGACATCAGTACTTGTTGCTTTCTACCTTCAGCGGCAACTTTTGATTTTAATGATCTATGAGGGACCTGGTTGTGATAGGAAGATATAACTAATTGTAATTAATTTTTTCCAGCTGCCACTATCACACTGTATCTGAGTTTCCAACTCAGTCACTTAGTTATGGACTCAACCAGAGAATGGGATTTTATTATTCTTATTTTTTTTTTTAATATTTTCTTAACATAAGGAAAATAATCTCATTTTTGGGGTAACAGAAGGGTTGGAAAATACACTGTTATAAGGGTTAATATCCCCCAAACCATACACAGGTTACATAACCAACTGATACACTGTCATTTTCATTAGTGGTACTGCATTTCTTCTGTTCACTAAATTTTTCCTTTTGTATTATGCTATTCTGTTCATTGCATTACTCTTACCACAGTCACACAATAACAATCCTCAATTTCTCCATGTTTCAGTTCCTCCTTCACACTTTCTTCCAAGCATTTACTGCAAGCACTGTACTGCATCATTTCGATGTACAGTTGTGTGTTCTTCTTTCACCTTTATACTATATACTGCCAGTGGTATTGTCACTATTAATTTGTCCCCTTTGAAGATGAAACATATCCCCTTATAGAATTCTCTTTACTATAGAGTCTAACTTGTACTGTATGAATTACATATGTTAATAACAAATACATAGGCTGAGAGAGCCCCATTTATCCATGTTTACTATATTGTTGGTCTTTTTTCATCAGTTTTCACAGTACCGGTAGTTAGGAATTGTAAATAATACACTTTCCATATTTTGCATCGAAATGCAGTTGGATCATTCCATTACTATTTGTGGCCTAAGAAGGCTTCACTGCTTAGCAAATTTATAGGTTGTGTACTGCCTTTTTTCTTTTGCACTCCTTAGCTTGGTTTAATTTCCTGTAGCAGTTCACTATTTATCCTCAAGTCCTTACTAACCAAACCACTGCCTATAAAAGCAACACCACTCCAAGGACTTTTTTCCTTCACCTTTGTTTTTTTACTACAGTACTGTAGTTTAGTTTTTATAATTGTTTTTAATTTCTTGTCGCTTGACAATTTTTTAATGAAGTAAACATATAATTTTATTATCTTTATGGAAGACCTTAAAAAAGTTTGTTTTGAATTGCATTTACTTTTTAATTTTTGAGAAAATTATTGGTAGTTTAAGGACACATCTCCCCATTTCCTGAGGCTGGGAAGTGCATTGACCTCAACAGGTGTATAAATGCAAAACCTCAGTCAAGAGACACACTGCTCACTGCATGTGTTGCACTCTCAACCTGTGGCCTCTTATGGGCAGTGGCAATGAGAGGCAAAAAATCGCAGGAGTGCACAGGATTTAGATGAGGAACATTGAATTTGAACAGAAAAAATGCAGTAACACCTGGGAGTAAATAATAAAAAAAACATTAGATAATAGATTAAATATATTAGGAATTGGGGATAATCTTCAGCTTAGTGGAGGAGAAGGGAGAGAGAACTGATAGATGAGAAATATTACAAGAACAATGCAGATGTACGAATACTGTGTGTGCAAATCCAGTTCTTGTAAAGAATTATGTGTAAATATCTTGAGGCTATTTCTGGCTGGTTGTATAAAATAAAAATATAAATTTGTACTATACAATATGTTGGAAAAGATATTAGCATATCTAATTAAATGTGTTAATACTGTCTAGAGTATTTCCTCATATGTTTGTGTATACAGTATATTATATTGTATATATTATTCGTTTCTTTAATACAAATCTAGTAAAGAAAATATCAATATGTTACACGATACAGTACTGTACTGACATAGTGGTCATTGAAGGATGGCAGGTTATGGAGATGTAGTCTGTAATTTAATGTTACCCTATATGTAAATTGAGGCCTCAGTACTTCTGCCGGTTAATGTAAAGTCATCTTGACATCAGTGGCCAGCAGGTGGTTCAATCCCACTGGTTAATACCTTGTTTACACCCATACAATTTTATATTAACCACCTCACAAAAAATGGATTACGTGAAATATAAAAAATGCGTCACAAACTTAGCAACACAATATTCAGCTCCTGCCGCTAGAAGAACACTACAGTTTATCTACATACTACATGCTCAACACTTATCCAACATAACAATACTGTACCGCAATAGAACTTCTACAAAAGATTAGAACTAATACATATGAAGCAAGAAGACAACTACAGTAATGTCAATACCATTAAAGCAAAGTCTGATTAGTCTTTTGTCTGACAATTCTTTCACTTCCACATCTCCTTATTTATTATTCTCTACATCCTATTCATCCCATGTATAACTCTCAATCATATCATTATTGTTTCTTCTAATTAGTATGTTCCTCATACTTCCAGAGTCCATGCCTCACACCCATAGAGTAATTGTGTCTCGGTAATTCTTTATACATTTGCATCTTTGCTTCCTTTTGACACATTTCTCTCTCTCTCTCCAAATATTTTTTAATTTATCTTTTACTGTTACTCTCTCTCTCCCTCACCTGCTGTCTGATTCAATTTATCATTCATTGTTTCATGTGCTGACTCATCCACTCTCAAATATATGAAGAATATCACTTCCTCCCTCTATATTCAACCAAAATATTTCTTTTCTCTTGTTCGAGATATATTCACCAGCAATTGTTACTTTTCTTTCTACATTGGCCACTAGAGAAATGTCGATTGCAAACAGCACCTGACTCGCCTCCCATTTACATCCATTTCACTATTTACTTTGTAGCCCCTTTCTCACCTTTATTATTATTGTCCTATTAATAAAAATATTGTACATCAATGATAACAAAATCCTGTACATTCCTTAGCATGATTCCACCCTTGTTTCTTTCTAATACTGTATATCCCTCACCCTCTCCTTAAAATTCGGGACAATATTTACCAATATCTCTGTTTTTCTGGTTGTTTTGATTATTTCACACACTTTCTTTTTTATCTTCTGTATTGTGTACCTTTTTATGATCCAGAAATGCTACAGTTTTTTCTTTTAGTCTTTAGAAACTTTTCACTGATGATGGTACTGTACTTCATTCAAACACCAGATCGATTTTTCATCTTTCTTCTCTCGGCCCACACTGCTCTAAGAAACTTGGGTTTTGTAATAATTCTCTCATTAATGACTGTACTATAAACTTTCCCAAGGTATAATTCAAGAGACATATTCCTGTGTGATATTGTAATTAACCTTTTTAACTGTATAATATAAAAATTTTAAGATACATTTTAAATTTTCCAGATAAATTAGTTTGACACCAGCAGAAAATAACTGATGTTAAAGCTCAGGCCAATCAAAATCTATAAATCACTGAAATGTAAAGAGATGTGGGGACCATGTACTGTATAGTGTAATAGATGCTTTGGGCCAGTGTCTTAGAGGTAGACTTGAGTCAGGTATTCCTCATACTGTCTTATGACTAGGTACAGCTACTAAATAATTTTGGCATTCCTGTCTCTCCATTTTCAACATGTATTACGTCCATTATTTATGTCATTCAGAGCAGGATAGTGCATACATATGCTTTTCAGAGTTTATTTTTAGAAAAATATTTATTAAGACAATGAAAAACAAAAAAGAATATGAGAGTTGTATGGGGATAAATTGTAATAAATCTTTGTTTGAATATCAGAATTTATGACAAAGATATATTCAAATCTTTTACGGTGCTCCACATATCCAACTTTGGGTTTCTTTCCTAAGATTTATAGAATGTTTTTACCTTCAAGAAAAAATTTTGCACCATCATATTTTTTAATATGCAACTCGAATGAATATCAAATTTGGTACTGTACACTACAGTGAGTACATTGCCTGACCTGAGTATATCTCTATACGAAGCCCCTAATATTTCATTGTTCAGATATGTCATGTTGCCATGCATTAAGAGAGAAATCAGTATTTGTGGTATGTTTGTAACATGTCATGGAGCTTCAGTCTTATGTCAGCTTATTTGTCTTGAGAAGCTTCTTAGATAGTTTATGAATTGCATTATGGCAACTGCTTTGACACAATGGCAAGATATCAATTTCTCATTACAATTTACTTCTCTGTACTCATATTGGCTTCCACCAAATTAATGTACTGGGTAAGAAAAGACAGGGATTTTAAGATGTGTTGAATTTTGATAAGTGTAATAATTTTCTATGAAAAAGAAAATTTAAACATTAGAGAGTAATATTTAATGTTCTTAATCTTCAAAGAAAATTAAAATATACTTTTTATATGAATAATTTTAAACGAGGAAAAGTTTTGGCATGGGTAAGGTGAATTAATCTGTGTAACATCTGATTGGTTAGTTGGGACAACATTTTATAAATTATTCTCATACAGTATTGCTATGTACAGTATATATATATATATATATATATATATATATATATATATATATATATATATATATATATATATATATATATATATATATATATATATATATATATATATATATATATATATATATATATATATATATATATATATATATATATACGTGTAATACTCTTTTTAATTGACTCATTAAAAGGGCTTTATGTCTTAATAACAATAACACATTGAAACATATTTATAAAATTTTACTTGTTCTTTGAATAACACACATTGACTTGCTTTTCAGGTATGAAGTGCCAGGTACTTCCATGAAATCATTAAGTAACTTATATGATTTTAACAGGTTTCGTGTTTTCTGCCATACTGTCTGCAACCACAGTCTCTTCAGTAACGTCATTCTTGTCTGCATTCTCATATCATCTGGCATGTTAGCTGCGGAGGATCCTCTTCGCTCTGACTCTCAACGCAATACTGTGAGTTATTGTTGTAGCTGATAATTTTCATCTTACTTGGTAAGAGTTACATTTAATGAAAGAAGCAACATACAATCAATCATTTCATGTTTATTTGTATGTCAAAAAGATTATCAATAACTGCAAGTTGATGTAACTGCAAAACAAGTACAGTAGACTCTCTTTATAGTATATAATGCATTCTTGGAAACTGCCCCTCTAAAGTAATCAGCTTAATGACTGGCTAAAAGAGGCTTACATCCCAACCTTACACTAAATCATCAACCTCTCCCTCAAAAAAATCTGAAACCTTTACTAGCTATCCATAATCACATTTCAGTATTGCAGCACTTGCATGTGTTTCACTAATACAGACTTGTCTATTGTTTGGCTAGTGAGACCCTGCTTGTCAGTTAAGCCCTTACACTGATATATAAATCACATTGGTATTTTTCACTTATTGCTGTTGTGGGTAGACACCAGTGCTGCACAACCAAACCGGAGAATGTCACTTGAGTGCTTCAAAATCACCAGATATTTCAATAAAATTCAATACAGTGGAAACTAACTAGTTCTTGAGGTTTGGTTCCTGTACTTCTCATGAATTAGCTGGGTTTGGTTAGGTTAGGTTCATGTGTTCCTCATGATAGAATTAGCCATGCTGGAGATTCTTAACAATTGGAGTCATCCCTTGCCAACCACACAACAGCGTATTAAATTTTTAAGTGTCCATGGATTTCCATGGTTACCACAGGAGATTTCTAGCCCAATGCAGCAGGAATGTTTGCTGGATCAGGCCTATCAAGTAGTTCGTCTTGTTTGTTTCACCATGTACTGTACATATCCCTCGAGGAAATTTTTTTTATCATGTGCTATACTTAGGTCTCCTTCCTTCATTAATCTCTTGAAAACAATTTGCTTATTATCATCTGTTATATTTTACACTACAATAAAGCTTTATACTGTCCTACAATAGTCATCACTTCACCCTCATTTTCTGTGTCATCATAATTTTATTATTGATATAAGCATCAGAATAAATATAAAAAAAATATAAAAAAGATGCAGGCTACATCCATGAGTACAAATGTTTTGTGAAAAGTGTTCACCAGTTATATGAAGTGGATACAAACTTACTCTGATCTGCCCAGCTCTTACATGTATTGTTTGTTCTTTACCCTGATCTGTATGCTCTCATGTAAAATAAAAATATCAATAAGTTGTTCATACACACAAAACTTTAAACGGTGTAAAACCTTACCAGTATTATGCAGATTTGCTTTCTTAGGGGGAGCAGTGTTGCTAGGGAGAGCATCGAGGCCAGATGTGCAGCATCAGGGGAGGGGGGGACTGCTCCATGACTCTTTTTTTTATAAGTTAACTGATAACTATTGCTTTGGGACTGATTGCCTATTTCATCACTCAACTCTGCTACTGTCATTCACCCTAACCCTTTCAGATACTCTTGACCCTTATATGGGTTATATGAGAACCATTCAGGGTGAAATTCTCAACCCAATAAATATTGCTAGAGTAATAGTGAACGATGTTGCCAATGGAGCTCTATGCTAGCAGCTCAGCACTGTCAACCCTGCCGGGTGATAGTACTCACTCAGGCATTATCACTCATTATAAATTTTAATAAGAAACGATGATCATCTTTTATTTGCTATACTTATTATATGGTCAGTGCACAATTGATTATTATATTTTCAGATCTTGAACTACTTTGACATCTTCTTCACATCAGTATTCACGGTTGAAATCTTCCTGAAAGTTGTGTCCTATGGTTTCATCTTACATAAAGGCGCCTTCCTTCGTTCTGCCTTCAACGGCTTAGATCTGTTGGTTGTGGCCGTCTCTCTCATCTCGTTTTCCTTCAAGTGAGTTGATTATTAGCATTCTCTGTATCTGACCTCCCATTGTGTGAATGTGTTGGTGTCTGTATTGTGTTACCCACAGTCATGTAATGCTGAATGATTCCATTTCTATTTGAATTCTTCACCTGTTTCTCCCTCAAATATATCTATCCCTAGTCTTCAATCACCACAAACTCTCTTCATCCCCTGCAATATTTTATTTGTTATGATATTTTGTGAAGGTGATTCTTTTAATGAAATCAATCTACAGTATTTAAATATGTAACAAAATTAAGCTCTTCTATGTAATCTATGTTAACATATTACCTGTGTGTAAATAATTTACCAAGTTCTTCATCTTTACTGTATCATCACAAAATTTCTGAATGTAAAGGATCCAGCGTATGTGAATTTGTATACGTTTTATCATGAGTGTAAGAACAGCGATCTTGAGGGCGATGTATCCCAGATGGCAATTATTACATCCACTGCGTCCTTCTCACCCCCATTCCCCTTCCTTTAGTAATACAATAATAGTGTATCAATATTAAGTTATGTTACAGCCTACATACCCCATTGTTTATGTGATATGCTTTCTGTGATCAGCATATATGACAGATTACAGATTTTTGTGGTATTACAATGACTTTAGTTAGTCATTTTGGGGTAAAAGTCAGAGTTAGTTGAGGAAAGAAAGGGAATTTATTACATGCTGGGTGGTGGTGATATAGAAAGGATTTTGCAACTCCCAAACCATGACGAAACATTAGTGTATGATGGTATGGAATTTCTTTTATTAGCACTGGTCACCTAACTGAATAAGGGAGAACAGATCTTACAAATGAGAAATTTCTGAGAAGGGAATATACACCAGCTCTAACATATGAAATACTGGTTTTATAGTCAACCAAGTGAAAATACTCTTAACAGTCAATAAAAAAAATATTATCAGATTTTGGTGCTGCTCTGTAATAATTAAGAGTGATGGGTGCTGTTTCCTAAAATCATTATGAAAACACAGAATTTCATCTTCCAATGACCTATGATGCTGCTGGAGGATTAAAATAATAAATATGAAGTACATGGTGGATATATTATGCCTGTATTGGTTACAGTTAAATCTGCAGATGGGTAACATCATCAATATACATCTACACCTAGCAGTGTTTATGTAATAGAAGGGATTGCTTTTAGTTCTGGGAACTGGAGAAAACGGTGAAACATTCATCAAGTATTGCATAAAATGATCTTTTTATATAACTTAAACTTCTTCCTGCAGAAAATATTTCCTCAGTCATAGACAATTGGCTCAAATCTTAAGATGAACTGATTTTATAATTGACAGCATTTAAAAAAAAATGCAGGGAGATTAGACAAAAGGCAATGTTAAATTATTCACCTAGGCATCCACATGCCAGAGACTGAAGATATTTGAAGCAGGATAATTTAAAATGATTCAGGTTATATGACATAGGAAAAACACTCTGTGGCAGGGAGTTCCACAGAGTGTTAGTCCAGTGTGTAAAAGAGTTTTGGTAAGGAGAGGTTCTGTAGAATGGAATTTCAACAGAAAAGCCATGGGCCCTCCCAGATGCTATCCTGGGCTAAGTGAGGGTGCATGGTGGTGGCACTAAGTGTAGCTTATCAGATCTTTGACCATGAAAATATCAATAGAATAGGGAAAGCAATGAGATATCCCTGTGAATGTGGAATTCTAGAAGTTTTTGGTAATAATGATAAAAAACATGCCACATTTTATGCCATATAAGATGCACTTTAAAAAAATATGGCTAAAAGATCACTCTGTGTTGTTGTGGGTCTCTCGTAGTTAATTAATCCCCCAGATGCTGTCTCCAGTAGGTTAAATCTACATAGCCCAACTTCAGAATAAAAATGTTATTGTTTACTTAAATGTTTTCTTATTACATTATTATTACAATTATTACTTTTAATTAATTAAAAATGGAATTATTGTAAATATTAAAGCTGGATAGCCCAAAATGATTATCATCTACCGTATATGATGTCCAAATGTTTCTGAGCTCTTCCAAGTGTTACTGTCTATTAATGTCATACTTGTCGCATCTAGCTTTCATTTTTAATAGGTAACATCCTTTTCCCTTTGAAAGAAACTTGAAATTATGGTGATAATAGTTAATAATGCCAACAGCAATTACCACTCGTTCGTGTGTCTTATATATCGTAAAATATGGTAATTGAAGATTGAAGAAATCAAAATTTGCCAATCAAAATTGTGGTCGTGTAACTTCTGAACATCTCAGCTTTTAAGTGTTACTAGCACTTTTATTTGATCAGGAATAACAATAATACAAAATTACTTAAACATTTAAATTTGGTCAAAGCTGAGCAGCACTTAGTACCTTTATATTAAAATAATTAATTGATAAAAAGCTACATTTGCAGCGCAGTAGGATGTCATTTCTTTAACTAGAGTTATTCTAAATCATATGTGTATCAGAGACTTCACCAACAGAAAGCATATCATGAGACCACAGATAATCATTTCTTGTAAAGTGAGTTCTAACTGGTTGAAAATAATCATATTCTGTATTTGTCATCTAGTTTCACCTTAAGGAATGAAGAGAGTGATGTTGGGAGTTATTTGTGCATATAAACCAAGCTCATGTGTTGCTTAACATTGTCATACATGTAATTGTAATAATGTTTATGCCTTATTCATCTTTAATTGAGAAGTAGCACATGGAGCATTGGATTACTGATCACAAATAACTTTATGTATAGATCCAGTTGTTTGTTGTCTCAGGATGATGTATCTGTACTTGAATTTTTAAATAGGTCTCACCAGTTTGTGAAGATTTTTTACTCTGGTCACTGATCTTAATTCAACTTTGATATAGGATGGAATATTTGATGTTCTTAAGAATAATCAAATGTTTGGAGGTTTAGGTATACAGTATTCCTTCATCCCAGTTACTAGAACCCACCTTTAAATTTTTTTCATTAGAAGTCAGAGCTGGTTTACTTTTTCGTATTGTTCATTATCTGGACAAGCAGTTTTAATTACTCAGTGTAAATAAAATAGTTTAATCAATGGGAGATTTCTACAGTTAATAGTCATACCACAAAATATTTTGTAGTACAGTATTTTCATACATTTAGCTAGAGTTCAATCCTGATTTGATTATATTTCCTTCACTCCAGACCACATGTAGAATTTTAATTTATTATCCTGTGTAGAATATTCAAGTTACACCAGTGAAACTTCTTTTTCTGTCCCTAGCAACCTACTCTGACATTTGACTATTTTTATTGCATTTTCCAAAGATTAGTTAATTAGTTACATATCTCCTCTTTCTCTAGCTATTCTCCCAAATCTTCTATACCATTATGAATTTTCACGTTCTTAGCTGCTTGCCATATATTGTGATATTTTCCAAACCTTTCAAGGCGTCTGTAAGTAGAATTCTGACCGTTGAAATGCAATTAACATTTTAAGAAATTTGATTTTAGACGCATAGTGCAAGAAATATATCTTTTTCTTTCAAAGAAATAAAGTTTGACTTAGATGCATAGTGCAAGACAGTACATAAGTAAGTGTTTTGTAGATTTTGATTTGTTTTTGTTGAGATATGTTTGTTTTACACGCCTATCAGTGTTTCAGTGGTGGACTGTACTGTAGAATTAATGAGATATAATTGTAAATGATTGTGTCATCATTTGCCATGCTGTTTGTTAGTGTGTAAATAATCTAGGCTCTCAGCTGTTTGTTAGTATGTATATGATATATCATTAGTGTGTATATAATATATACAGTATTACTATAATGGTATCAGGAATGTCCAGATTATCTTAAGAGTTATGTTGCCTCATATACTGTTCTTCCTTCTGTAGTTGTATTGGTGACTTACTTTCCCTGCATTTCCATTTATGTTTGTTAATTTTCTTGTACTGTTTGGTATTTTTTTAAGAAGAAGCATTTTTTAGGTTATCTGTCTGTGACAATATTTTTTGTGTCTTCTGTGTCTTCCTACATACCAGTTAAGTTGTCACTGTTACCTTTATTAACTTTAAATTTGACTTTAACTATTTTAATCGGGTTATAAAACCTTTGTCTCTCTCTCATTTCTGCATTAAATAACAGTAATTGTCATTTGAGTGACCTTTGATTCTTGTTAATATTATTATTCAGTGTTGCCAATGTATTTAAATGTTGCCTCGAAGTACCCTCCTTTACAGTTTGGATATTGTTTTTCAATCAGCTATTATCCAAAGAGGTATCTGTCAGCTATGAACACATTAATAATTCTTTATAATCTTCCAGTGTAAGAAAAGATTCCAATGTTGACATTGTATAGATCAGTGATATCAGACAGGTACTTCTTTCCCTTCTCATCCTTGGCAACACTGCAAGTACACAGTAGTAACCCCGCCTCTTTTATATGTTTCCGCTATGACGCGGTTGACTAACATGTGTTCTCCCCTTCTCTTCCCTCCCCCGTACTGTGTGGCAGCCGCGACCTCACCACCAGGTATTTGTGTACCCTCAGGTTTCCCTCCCCATTCCCTAGTTGCCATGGTGATGCCCTGTCCTCCCCAATGAACATGTCTTGTAATAAACAGTTTAATGCATTGTCCTTTCCAGGAGTAAAATTATTACCCCTCAGGGGACTAAAATTGCACAAAGCGGCATGTCCTGAATGCTCTTCCAAATACAGTATACGCCTCTTTTATGACTCTTCAAGTGATGATGGCTTTAGACCGTATTTAAAAAAGGCTCAGAATCCATTGACATTTTGTTGTAGATTATGAGCCGTGAGGAACTGTGTCTGAGTGCCATTACACTTATGATGTCACCTAAAATTTTCTTCCCATATTTGCATTTCTGTTGCCTGGAGTCTCGCTGAGCTTTTATAGTATAATCACCTTGATTTAACTAGCTTACAGGTAAATAAGTAGAATTAATCTTAGATTTATATCAAAATGTAAATCTGGAAGTTTATATTACATTTAGTATTTACTGCTTGAATACTGCAGAAATAGTGCAATAGATGAAAATGAATGTATTGCAGGTTAGTAATATATTTAGAAAAGCTGATATATAAATAGCATTGCATAGTATTGTAAGTTGACAGAAGTGAGAGAAAAAGCATCATGGATTAGCATGTTTCTTACTGTACATAGAGTAAGAGTAGATGGAGAGAGGGTGAGGACAAGTGTGGGATGCATGAAAACTTGTTAATACAACAGTAAGTTTAGTCATCTTGCAATAATAAAAGAATAAGTGATTAAGAATGGAAAGTGTTTGTTATGTGGCCATTTGCATATGCCAGTTTTTAACAATTAACAAATAATTTATTGACATACTAATAGACTTGTGAAAACAAAATTGGATACAATAAATTCATACCTAGATTACTGTGAAATAAAGCATTTCTTGAATGTAACTTCTTAATGTCAGAATGTGCGAATACTTTGTTTTGGCAAAGAGCCTATAATCCATAAAGTAAATTAAACCAAGAGATGCATTTACAGCTACTGAGGTGTACTGTATGATATTTTATCATCTCTTTCTGACACTTCATTCAGTATAGCATATCATGAATCTCTCACAATTATTTAATAAAAGAAAGCTTAGGTTTGTTTGTGTAACAGTTATAATGGAGTTTGTACTCTCCAGAAGATACATGTTTTTATTTCATAGGAATATATTTTGTCATTTATCAGTTTGATACACAAAAGTTCTTCATAGTACTTGAAGGCTTTTCAGGAGATATATGAAATCTCCTTTTGTTAAGTCATGGTTTGATTTTCAACAGTGTAGCAAATTCTTAGATAGGGATAATGTAAAGTATGATTTAGTGTTATATGGTGGGATGTAATGTACAGTATTTTGAAATATTCTGCAACTAATAGTAAAATATTACTTGGTATTGCTTGATTGCATACAAAATATATTTGTATTTTGAGTAATGATGTAAAATACCTTGAAACATACTGCATCTTGGAGAAAGATACATCTAGGGAATAGATTGATATTGGATAAATGTAAATTATATGTCAAGTATTTGATACAAACCATTCTTAGACTGACCATAACTTTAAATTTATCAGTTATGTCAGTAAGAAAAATATTATTTACATATTTATTGTTTTATATCTCTTGACATTATACATCCTTAGATTTTCATTGGTTCTAAGATGAATACACAAATTCTGATGTAGTACAGAGAGATGCATAATATTATTTGATGCAAATTATAAATGGAGGATTGATCTTGAAATCATATTTTATAAGAGTCAAGATTGAACAAATGCATGTAATTAACAAGTATGGGTAAAAATCCCAAGTCTCAGAGCTCCAGCTTGTGACTAAGAACTGAATGTCAATAAATTTGATAATTAGATTATCCTGTACTACATGGCTGCAGTACACCCAATGCAAGATTCTAATATCAGGAAAAAGAGAAACACTCGCCTGTCCGTGATTCTGAATGAGTTAAATATCAGTACAGTACTGCTCTGAAGTTGGTGATCCAAGCAAAATGCATTTATAGCTGATGTCAACAGAGTAAATGATTGGATCAGAGCATCTCATGTGATGCACAGCAACAAAACATTTAGGTCCTCTCCCCTTTTAGGATATTTTGTCACCAAGTAGTTATCCTTTGACAACCCATATGAAGGTGAAGGATAGTCTAATAATTAGATTTATTCAGTTTTCATATTTGTCACAATTTGGTTTCCTGGGATATAGGGATTTGATTCTTAGGACTTGCTGGCCATCCAAAATTGTCTGATCCCCATGTTGATTATTAAATGCATTTATAAGTGGAAATTAAATTATGAGAAATTTTAATACAAAATTGGATTTCATATTTTGCACTGTATCATGTGACTCATGACACTGACATACCGGTAGATGTTGATAATCCCAAACTTGCAGTATTGTATCATTGACTCAGTTATATAAGAAGCCATTCAGTTTATTCATTATATATCAACCTTGCTCCAGTGCCAACCATGTGGACTGGTGTAGATGTACAAAGCTTTGCAAGGAATATTATGAATCCATTTGTGGGTAGGGAGGAAAGCCATTGTAACCTGTGAAGACTTGTCACTATCCAGTCAGAAGTCTCCTATATCTAGACACTAATGGTGAGGCAGCCTTCAATGACAGGTGATAAATAATTAAATTCAAAGTACCATAGATCACATCTATTATTGGGAGTTACAAGCCAAGTTGCATTTAATTTTATGTAAACATCATGTTATTTATGTAATTATTATCTTTCAATATAAAGAGCTAGGTAATATATTAAAATATATTTAATTTGTTTTATATTAATTAGAAAAAATAGGGATGTATGATCACTGATGTTGGCAGTTATATTTCATAAATTTTGGGGTAAATGGTTTCACACAATGAAAGAATTAAAACAAGAAGCATAGATGATAAATAAATTGCCTAGCTTATAATACAGATGGGCAAGTGGGACCTAATTGAGGTGTCTAAACATCTCAAGGGGCACTACTCAGTTGAGTGTCTTTACCTGGAGCTGGCGGACGCTCGCCCCACAAGGGGTCACAGCTCAAGTTTGAAGAAGCCGCAAGCCCAAAAACTGTGAGGGCAAACTTTTTTGGAGTGAGAGTTGTGAACTTGTGGAACAACCTGCCAGTGAGTCTTGTGACGGCACCGAGTGTGAGCTCTTTCACGACCAGACTTGACAAGCACTGGAGCAGGTTCAGGTACATTCAGGAGCCAGTGCATGCCCAGTACTTGCCAACAGTGCGTAACAGAGACGTGACTGATCGTACAAGTGGCTAACGAGCTGTTCGGTAGTGAAGAGGATAAAAGTATGAAAGTTGAAGGGTTAGAGAATGAAAGTATAAAGCTAAATTTTCAAGAAAAGTTGGCTAAGAAGTTGTCTTGTGTATATTTTTATCTTAAGGAGGTCAAAACAGTTTGGGGGTAAGTGAAGAATACTATATGGAGACTGCCAAATGGATCGAAGACTTTAAATGAAGATTTAGGCTTGTGGTGATAGTAAACCATTAGTGAAAAATAATAGAAAGATGAAGAATAGACAATTTTATATAACAGGGTAAAGAGTAATAGGAACATTGAAATTTTTATGGAGAGTGAAAACTTAGGGAATAAAGTACAATGTATAGAAGAAGCAAATATGACACAAAAGAAACTACTAGTTAAGAGCAGTATGTAGTGTGAATATGAGTTATAGAAACAAAACAGATTTGAAAATGGAGGAGAACAAAGATGGACTTGTTAAAGTAGTTAGGACATAATGAGAGAACAGGAAGTAAAAGAATGATGTAAAGAATGTATAGTTTAAGAGGTAGATGGTAAGAGAGAGAATGACCAAAAAGTAATGAAAAGGTGAAGTGAATGAAGCTTTAAAAGTGAGGGGGGTATGGATGGGTATCACTAGTGCATGTGAATGGATGATCATCATGAAATCAGGTGGTTTATAGAATATCGGAGCAGTTTGTGTGAATGCGTGTGGGTGAAGATGAATAAGAGTCTGGGATTGGTTTTAATTCCATCTTTAATACTGAACTGTAACTGAAAACACCACACTTGTACTAACAGATAAATAAATCAGTATCACAAATAGGGCATATGTGAAACACTTATTCTTGGGCTAAATACTCATGCCAAATCATCTTGATGAGTTATCAACATCGCCTGTACCATTTGATGATATTATGCCACATGAGGATTTATAGTGTATGGTAAATAAGCTACGTATTACTCTTAATTTCAAACTTAGCACAAAAATGCTGTCCCTCCCTCCCTCCCTCCCTCCCTCCCTCCCTCCTCCTCCTCCCTCCCTCCCCTCCCTCCCTCCCATCACCTTAGTTTTTTCCCTTCCTTGTAGGTCCTGTTCTCTTCCACATCTCTACTATTTTGTATTCTGTTTACTTAATATAGTGCTCTAAAGCTTGGTGTTATTGTTCCTCTCTCTTGGGTCCAGTGTACATGCTTCTCACCCAGGTAAACATGTCAGAACAACAATTAACCTGTACATCCCCACCTCCTCGTCTTTTGATATAGTTCTCTCTTAGTACAGTTTATATCTCATTTCACCTATTACAGTACCTACTTACTTTCTTTCAACTACTGTACTCTAATTCAGTTCATGACTCATCATTCCATTTTGGCACAGTCTCCTAGATACATGAAACCCTCCACTTCTTCCATTTTATCTCCATTCTAGCAAACATTTTGTCCCTCATCTCCCATCTTTTCTTATGTTCACCACTCTACTTTAGTTCATATGCATAATCAACTCTTAAGAGTGCACACTCATTCAGGCTCATTTATTTAGATGTGTAACTTTTCTTCTGAGTCACCCACTGTTGCTGAGTCATCTGGAGACTGCATCACACTCATCTGTCGTACATCCCATATTATTTGCCAAATTTGATTTTCTTTATTACCCATATTTTCACCACTGTTATTATGTCATCCATGAAAACATTAAAAAAGGCATGATGACCTTTTATATAT